TATTACTTAATTTCGCGTGGCTTGACACAAAATCTTTACCCTCACCGGTTTTAACTAATGCTGGAGCCATCTGAGCATCCACTATAGGGTGCACGCAACTGACTGTCATGAAGACTTTGGGCTATAAACCAACCTATACTATAGGGTATATAAAAAGCGAGAGTTCTCGATTCAAATCTTAATTTAATAAATAATACAGAAGTTATTCTAAGCCAAGTGGATTTGTAAAAATATTTCCGTGGAGTTGTAAGTAGAAAGTGCCTTGATTTCTACTTCCAGTGTGAACAAAAGATCATAACAGACTGTGCTGTCTACATAGTGTCTTCTGTTTATCAGTATACGTCAACGTATAAAAATATTTCTCAACGGGGACAACGTATAAGGATTTGTCTTACAGCAATTTGAACAATTTGGACAGAAACTAATTAGGTAACGAAGTGAAAATTTTAATTACATTAACAACTGCATGATTTACAGTAACTTTCAGCAATCTCACCCAAGGTGTATGTAATTATGTGATGTAATGCATAGTGAGCACATGAGATATGGGTCATTTGGTGAGACGTGGTCCTCCTTGGTGAAAGGGATATACTTCAAAACAAAAAAATATCTGTAAGAAGATTATATTGCAAGAGTTTGAAGTATTTTTGCATCTACTGATTTTTAATCAGTAGAAGCATTGTCAGGACCAGAAGTAGGTATATGTCGGGAAAAGGCACATTTGATGAGGTATCAATGTAATGCATTGCGAGCATAGGGCGAAAGTCGGTTATCTACGGTTAGTTCCGCTGTTGTCCATAAATGGTTTTGTAAATAACACGAGTATAGGCTACTCAATAAAATTGTTTTGTCAATAACACGAGCGGAGTGCAATACGAAGAATGCTGTGTACTGCACGAGACGATGACGACTTTGTATGATATCTTCGGTTCAGTGCACAAAAGTTTTAGTCATTATCAAGCGATATCGTATCAATAACATGCACGAGTACAATAAAATGGTTTTTCAATGTAAATACGAGTACAATATAACTGCGTGAGCGGATGACTGATTTTGCAAAAGTTCATATCTTCGACGGGTACTCAATAAAATGGTTTTGACAATAACACGAGCGGAGTGCAATACGAAGAATGCCGTATAACTGCGCGAGAGGACTGAAGTCACAATAGTTTTATACGCCCGTATTCTAAAAGCTCACTCACACTCAAACTCAATGAGTGGAAGCTCAATCCGTTGAGCTTCTCTCGAGTGTCATTGCTGGAGGGCTAGTGAGTAGTGTCATACCTTACTATGTGACTACTCACTCCCCAGCTATTCAAAAACAGCATTGACACTCAAAAGAAGCTCAGATTGAACCTCCACTCATTGAGTGTGAGTGTGAGCATAGACAATCCAGAAGACATCTGGATTGTCTATGGTGTGAGTGAGCTTTTAGAATACGGGCGTTAGTCATTATCAGCATGTAGCGATTTATGGCCTTTTTGATCTCGCCTTTGATAGTCAAGCGAGACCGTATATACAAAAATATAAACTAGTCATATACCTTTCGCCGAACATAATGATAGTCAAGCGAGATCGCATATTGTCAAATTACTATAGAGATTTAAAGCCTTTGAAACCAGTCAAGCGAGATATACAAAAATATAAACTGGCCATACCTTTCGCCGAACAAAATGATCAAGCGGGATCGTATATTATCAAATTACTATAGCGATTTAAGGCCTTTGAAACTAGTCAAGCGAGTCTAATGATATATTCAAGCGAGATCGTAGTCAAGCGAGATCGTAGTCAAGCGAGATCGTATATTGTCAAATAATAGTCAAGCGAGATCGTATAATGTCAAATTACTATAGTATAGCGATTTATGGTATTTGAAACTAGTCAAGCGAGATAAAAAATATAAACTAGCCATTCCTTTCGCCGAACATAACTTCCTAAGATTGAATAATTTAATCATAAAATTGAATCTTTGAATCCTAGATTGGATCATTGAATCCTAAGAATGAATCGTTAAATCATAAGATTGAATCATTGAATCCAAGATTGAATAATTGAATCCTAGATTGAATCATTGAATCCTAGATTAAATCAATGAATCTCAAGATTGAATAATTGAATCCTGAGATTGATTCTTTCAACTAAACGACGGAGTTTATGTTACACAAAGCCCAGCTAATACCGCGCAGTCTAGTTCTAGTCCAGTCTAGCGCTATGCTGAGCTCCGAGCTATTTATACTACTAGGTTCCGAGCTAGGCTCGATATTTCGAGCTAGCCGCGGAACCGAACTATTTTGAGACCAGGCTCCGAGCTAGGTTCGATATTCCGAGCTAGGCTCCGAGCTATTTAGACCATAGACTCCGAGCTACGCTCCATATTTCGAGCTATCTTGATTCTTGAATCTTATATCGATATTGTAGTGTATTACTACTTAAAAGCACAATGGCAGTAGTAATCATACGAGGCTATGTTTCTTTCCATTCAAAGAAACGACAAGAATCTTCCTTGGGGCGACAGTAATTAAAACAGCGCAATTTTGGTTAGAGCCATCGTTCTTGACTTTCGTTCACACCATTCCATGTTGACAGGTAGGTCTAGGATTTTCATACACCTCTTCCCATTGCACAAATTTACAGGGATTTTCTCGTTAAGAGCACACGAAAAATGGGCGGCCGTAGTTTGCTTCATCTTGTCTTTATAACTGTACGTAACTTTGCCAGTTTTTGATGTGTATGTCGCACGGGATGTTGAGGCCCACTCTTTCTCAAATATTCTACGACTTTCGTGAAGATATATATGACAATCTTCATCTCGACAAAAGAATTCACAGCTAGGTTTTTGTCCACAGAACCAAAATGTACCATGCATGCTTTGTAGTCGAACAGGACGAAGGTTTTCAAAGTAGACACCCCATCTTATGACATTAATTTGGCAGCGAAATTATACTCAAACGAATCAGTGATCGAATTTTGTAGCGACGCTAATATGCGACGCTCATTAATTAAAAAACATTTTTGCAAGATACTTTAGTCATGAAAATGGTGCGCTTACTTTAATGACTGCTTTGACCAAACTCGCCCAAGCACGCTTTGAGTTACGTCATGCATGCATTCCAATAATGATGCGGCGCCCTGTTTTATGCTAATGATGATGCGGCACTTTGCGCCGACCGAAAAAGGGGGTCGAATGGCCTGTATATTACAACTCATAATCCCCGAGCCAACGAGCCAAATTGTTAGGCCATTTTTAATTCGATAAATAATGTTTTTTATGCAAGCTGGTATTTACAGGAAATTGTCGCAATTAATATTATCATTCATTTGGGGCATTTATACAGCAGCGCATCGTATTTTAATGTGTGTTTAAAATGGTCTTTTACCTACAGCAAATATGGCTAGCTTGACCAAAACATAACTCAAAAACTAGCTTCTGCCTGCGAAGCAAATATATTTTACCCGATTTTTCAGTTTCCCTTGCAGCTTCACGCCAAAGTTTCGAAACGTTTTACCGTTTTATTTTACGTTAAATGTTAGCCTATTGAAAGTCACATAGCTAACATAAAACTACATTCTAAATTTTGAAAATCAATGATTCTTTACTTCAGTTCAAAAATTCTCTCATATCATATTTTTTAACGTCACCATGGCGACTACTATTATTTTAAACAAGAAATACTTCATGTGAAATTTCTATACTTTCTCTTTTAAGAAACGCGAGGGGTTTCTGCATGCGTGTATTCCTAGTAATAATAATAAATACATTTTGCAGCACTCTAGGTGGTCACAGTCCATCTACAATTTTTGCCATTATACTATGGGATAATTTAGTTTCAAGAACGTTATATAGACAATACGCATTTTTTACAGATAAATATTTCTCCTTCTCTCCCCCCACCCATTTCAATGTTGCGTGTATCCCAGAAGACGTTTCGTTTATGATATATTTATCACTTATTTACTGAGACCGAGGGAAACAGTGTGTTTTGTGGACCCGACACCGTCGAGTGTCCACAAAACACACTGCTTTCCCGAGGTCTCAGTAAATAAGTGTTTTATTATATATCAATAGTCAAAGAAACAACAAATTAAAGAACAAATGAACGTAAAGACACGAAATATTTTATTGTTAAAACGTTATAATAAACACTGGCTACACTGCAGTTATAAGAAGCGAAAGTTTTAATTACGTACTAGGCATGTCCAACGGTCGCACCTTCACGTGATGACGCACGTGATTTTTTTTGTTATTCGCCGGTGGATAACGTATTATCTCCCTCTCGCGCTGTTGCGAGGGAGACAGCCTAATTTCGTCACTCTCACGTGATAAGCTCTCAACCAATAAAATACTAGAAAAATGCGACTTTGACTATTGATATATAATAATCTGATTTGTTTACTTAATTTGCTCAATTTGCAAGATCGCATTTTTCTTAAAATTGACTGGCTAAGTGAATTCTACACTTTCTTTTGATTGGCCAGCCAAGGTCACCACTTCAATTTGATTGGTTTAAAAATTATGCGATTAAACTGATGCTGATGTGAGCAAAATTCAAAATAGTGCGATTACAGCTCTAAAATAGTGCGATTATACAGCTCTGAAATAGTGCGATTTGGACTGTAATCGCCTTATTTTTAGCCAATCAGATTTCTCGAATCGCCCATAATTTCAAAATGAATATGATAAAACGATAAATGATACTTGAGCTTAGTCGCACTTGGGTATGATAAATTTTTGTAACTGAACGGAAAACTGGTAAGAATAGCGAATCAATCTACCATTCAAGTATCTGTGATAAGAAAGCAAGGATTACTGATTAGATAACTTAATCAGCAGGTCCTAAATTAATTCTAAAATAGGCGATCTGGAAGCCTTCCAAAAATATGGGGTTTATCAACAATTTATTGGCAACTCAAACGTTTATGAGAGCTTCATATGCGGAATGTCTCGCCTGTGCACAATAGAGTGAAAAGGAAATACCAGATTTTTTAATTAAAGCCGCAGGTAACATTTTAATATAGTTCTCAATCATTGACCACGGCTCTTTTGGAATATTCACAGTATCAATAAAGTAGGCTAAAGAAGTTTGTTCAAATTCTAATAATTAAAGACGGATAGTCTCTGAACAGGTTAGTACAGTCTGTTAACACAGGATATAAATTATATGTAAAAATAATCGTTAAAAATCTGTTTACATTGACAAAATTTGCAGCTTGATCAAATCAAATCAAAGCAAAATGTTATATATGAACCAATTTAGTATGAAGGATGTGTCTTGGCTTTATTGCTCGTTTCGTTTGGCTTGCTGCTCATTCTTTTGTTAGTTTTACAACTTTATTGAAGTTATCTACATGATTGTGTGAACGAAAAGCGTCAGCCATCAGAATGGCCTTTATTACATAGTGGCTAACTATATTCCGTTATTATTTAACTATTTAATATGTTTGTTACTGCCATGTGTAGCCCATGTAGGTACAATTATACTACATTATTAAAGTAAAATATCGTGAACTTGACCAACATTTCAAATTATAATTGGCGTTTATTGAATGTTTATATTCAAGGAAAACGTACTGCGTTATTATTTGATTGCAAATATAAAGCAGCCTCTTGCGGAGGCGTGGATGCATAGGTAATCATAGCAACCCAATAATACGTGGATTTGTGAAACAGTGGCGTAGCTAGCCGTCCCGCTGTCCCCCGGGCAGGACTAACAATTTCAAAAAAAATGAGGAAATGTTTTATAGTGAAGCCAAAATCACAGCTTTGCTTATTCTGTAAATTTAAATATTAATTATGATCATTTTTCAGTGCTTTCAGTTGTCATTTATTTAAAGTTTACGAAATATTGCTGTCTGCTCTTTGACCTCTTTGTTGTCTAGCAACTGATACCCTGCAGAATTAGCTAATTTCCACGCAATTTATTGCTTACTCACGCAATTCGTAAATCGCATGTCACATGTTCCGCTGATTTTCATATGACGGAATATGCAATACTATTTTATACAAGAAATTCTGGTTTCTGGTTGGATAATTGGCGCAGCGCATGCCCAAAACGGCTGTTTTCAATGCGGAAGTCCCGCTATTTTATGAAGGGGGAGGTTGTTTAATTAAATGCTTTATATGTCACAAAATTGGGGGGTTTTTTATTTTTGAGTAGCGGACAAAAAGTTAGTTAATAGGTTCTTTAACATTTTTCGGTTTTCGCTTTTCATTCACGAGATATGAGGCTCTAAACAGCGATTTTCGTAAAAATGTCGCGTATCAACAAGAGTCTGGGACAAGCCTGGTGTGACGTAGCTTAAGGAACTTAATCACGACGGGCATTATACATTTCTTTATATTTTGTATGTTTTCCAGTACTCATGGTTCTCAATGTGACTCAGAATACAATTACATTGCTGGATATATTATAGAAGATGAATCAAATGATACCAGTCATGAAATTTGAACTCTAGAAGCAGTTGATAGCGAAATTTTAGGCGATTGTGATGAATGCCTTTATGCCGATGAATCGCTAGCGAGCGAAGAATGCTACACGCGATGGAGCGATTGCAGAATACCCGTCCACATTTGAAGACCTCACTTGTTATCATGATACGATGATACGAAGTGAAAATGATTACGTAATAACTATATAGCTGCTCTATTATAAAAGCCTGGGTAAGCTATATTTTTGGCTGATACGAAGATACGGTGATACGAAGGGAAAATGATTACGTAATTACTATATAACTGCTCTATTGTAAAGCCTGGGTGTTTATTTTGGCTGATACGGTGATACGATGATACGAAGGTACTGATTATGTAATAACTATATGTGCTATATTTTTTGTTGATACGATGATACGAAGTGAAAATGATTACGTAACTATATAACTGTCTATTATGCCTGGATAAGCTATATTTTTGGCTGATACGATGATACAAAGTGAAAATGATTACGTAATAACTATATAACTGCTCTATTATAAAAGCTGGGTAAGCTATATTTTTGGCTGATACGATGATACGAAGTGAAAATGATTACATAATAACTAGAAAATACATGCATGCAGAAACCCTCGCCTTGCTGACAAAACCATTGTATTTTCCGAACATGGAGTATCTAGAGTAGTTGTCATGGCAACACGATAACTTTTTAAGAATATTCTTACAAATGAAAAATCGCCTAAAAATATCACTTTTAATTACAAAATTATCAATTTCCCAACATATATATGTTAGGTATGTTATTATACGTAATATAAGCTTCAATTTAAGGTAAAATTCAACCACAAAAGCTTCGCAAAACGTTTTAAAATGTTCTTTATAAAACTATTAAAACTGCCTTTAATTATTAAAATGGCTTTATCGATAAACTTTGAGTTTGCAATAAAATGATTTCAAATTCTCGCATGCAAATAATTTTGCTTTCTTTTTTATTTAAAAAATTCAATATAGGCCTAATAAAAAAGGGAATCAATATTATTAATACACTGAAATTATATGCTGTCTTGTTTAGTTGTTTCATATACGCAAAGCCAAAGGGCCAAAGCGGCCGTCGGGTTTTAAAGTAATTATAAAATCAATATTTAAAACAAACTTACCTTCGTTGACGTCGGCTCCCTTCTTTTAGCCGATTCTTTCGCCCTTTCTTTCTTGAAATTTACAAAATCTTGCAAAAATGCGAGCAAAAATTAAATATATTTGCAAGAAATTTATCAATCATCAAATCAAGAAATGTTTGCTATTTCGCTGTCGTCATACAGTCGACAGTCGTTATAATGCAAACTTTAAATTGGACCAATCAGTGTCCGCTATTCATGACAGTCCGCCATATTTTTGAGATCAGTGAGGATGACAACCCACCGAACCACCGAACCACTCACGGTAACCCACGCCCGCGCTCATTGATGAACTTTAGACTTGGCTAATGCTTTCGTTTCCCCGGGTGTAAATAGCCGGGGGGGAATTAGTACCCTCGCACGGCGCTTCGCGCCGTCGGCTCGGGGACTATATAACTGCTCTATTATAAAAGCCTGGGTAAGCTATATTTTTGGCAGATACGATGATACGATGATACGAAGTGAAAATGATTACGTAATAGGTATATAACCGCTCTATTATAAAAGCGTAGGGTATAGCGTAAGCTTTATTTTTATTTGTAAAAAGGGTAAGCTATATTTTTGCGTGACAACCAAAAATACGCATACTAAATGTAATTGATAACTATATATTTGCATGAATAATTATATAGATATGGCCCACGGTTTTCAAAGAACGAGACAAAGCGATATACATGTCTAAAATGGTATATATGACATATACATGCCTGAAATGATATACATGCCTAAAAATCCAATTGAGAACTATAAGTCTACATTTGTGTATATATTGATACGTGCTTTCAAAGAACGAGGCAAACACATATATACATATTAAAAGTAATTCAGAATTGATAAATATGATGTTTGTGAACAATTAGATAAGAACGCATTTTGAAACTGACAACGAGGCAATTAAAATTTTAAAATGTGGTTTGTAATGTCTCTTCTGATATGCATAACAGATGAATGTTTTATATATTTAGTTACACTGTAGATGGAGGAATATTTTGTGAGTATGCAATGTATTATGTAGGTTGGCTTTAGCTTGTTTTTCGCGCTCAAAAAATGCAAAAACGTATGAGTGAACGCAGACATTAATTGATATTTTGACGCGTTTTGTTTTTAACGAAAGAAGTATATGGTGTTTACTTATTGTTTTTATATTATTAAAGAAAGAAGTATACGCTGTTTATGTAATCATCTTCGTATCATCTTATCACGCAAAAGTATAGGTTACCAAGGCTTTTATAATAGCGCGGTTATATAGTTATTAGGTACTCATTTTCACTTCGTATCATCGTATATCACGCAAAAATATAGCTTACCCAGGCTTTTATAATAGCGCGGTTATATAGTTATTACGTAAACATTTTCACTTCGTATCATCGTATCACGCAAAAATATAGCTTACCCAGGCTTTTATAATGGCGCGGTTATATAGTTATTACGTAAACATTTTCACCTCGTATCATCGTATCATCGTATCACGCAAAAATATAG